GCATCTTTCACATCTTTTTTATTTTTGCATTTGCACTCACTCCTTTAAAGCAATTTTCTCTGTGTGGGTGGCTTGTCTAGAGCACACCCTCTTGCCTGCCCTTGGCTTCTTTACCTAGTGCTCCAGGCTTATATCCAGGCTTAGGGTCACTGACAGTCCTGTGGGCTTGACGCTTTTATCATTATCCCTGCAGGCTGTGTGTCTCTATCGAAGTTCCTTATAAACTGAGGGATGCCTCCAATTTCTTACTGCTGCAAAACAATAGTTCTACTCATCCCACTGTTTCCTAGCGCTTACTGAAGAGACTGTTCTTAGATCTGCACAGTAATCATCAGGGGAAGAGCTCTAGGATATATGGCAACTGTCTCTTCCTCAATGGTCTTTGAAGGCCTGTGGGGCTGCTGAACACTGGAGGGTTAGAGAAACAGGGACATGGGTTGGTTTAAATCAGGGTTTGGGCAGGAAGCAGTGTCATCACAAGTATCACAGAATAAGGCATGTATTGTAAAAACTAGACCTTCTATAATTGAGAGAGTCATTTGGGAAGTAAAGTTTTGGAGTGGAAAAATCAACAAAAGATCATTAACTTGCCAAGGTGTGACTTAGTGAATTGGAGCTTGCAGAAACATCTGGAATTTAGGAATTATCTGCTGTACAAGACTGAAGGTGTTTGACTGTTACCGCTGTCCCTATGAGTTTGCAGAGAAGGGTCAGATGGCAGACTGTGGATGCTATTGGCCAGCAGGGCTATCTGTTGAGATCATGAGATCGTCAAGAACAAATAGAAAGCCACCTCTCATTGACAATAATCAGATCACCTTCTGCTTCACATCCACCTCCCAAATCTCATGCAACTCACTCTGGACAGCCCAAACCAAGGAGAGGTTCCATTGAGGACTCTTGGCTGGCTTCAAGTTTTGAAACAAGAAACAACTAAATGCAGAGACAGCAATTGCCAACGCTAAGGCCAAAATTCAGGAGCAAGTTATGACAGGACCAAATAAACTGGACTTTCTTGCCACACAGTTCTGGCAGGCTCTGTCCCTAATCACTGTGATTCGCCCTAAAATGCAATTCTAACCGCTGGCTGGCCTTACTCCTTACTCCTACATCTCAATTGTCCTTGCTTTTATTTCCTACCCTCTCTCCTTCTCTTCTACCCCCTCATCTTTTTCTTCTCCATTTCCCCAAATCCACAGCCCTTGAAAAGTCTACTGTGAAATATGGACACAGTGTTTCTCACGGTGGCCAGTGGGTCACCTGTTTCAGAAATGCCCATGGTTTTATAAACAGATTCTAGATCCCTTACTTCAAACCCACTAAATCAGAATCTATGGTGGTGGGCCCAACAATCTGAATTTTTAAAAAATATATTTTATTGATTTTTTACAGAGAGGAAGGGAGAGGGATAGAGAATTAGAAACATTTATGAGAGAGAATCATTGATCAGCTGCCTATTGCACACCCCCTACTGAGGATATGCCCGCAACCAAGGTACATGCCCTTGATTGTAATCGAACCCGGGACCTTTCAGTCTGCAGGCCAAAGCTCTATCCACTGAGCCAAATCGGTTTCAGCAACAATCTGAATTTTTAACAAGTATTCTAAATAATGCTTATGCACACCCAGTTTTTAAAAGCACTACACTAGGGGTGTCGAACTCAATCAGAGAAGGGGCCAAAATCTAAAATCCAGCCTAAATCGTGGGCCGAATGGTTTACTGAACAATCATAAACTGTCATTGTGATGGAAACACAGCAGAGTGCAGTGATGACAGCGTGGTGCGGGCCACATTACAAGGCCTGGCGGGACGGATTTGGCCCGCGGGCCTTGTGTTTGACACATGTGCACTACACTAAAGGCTTCAAGAAAACAAGTTTATGTTATTATTGGTTAGCCCCTGATACATAATCCTTATGCCATCAAAATATTGTTTACCCTGCTATTTAATCTCCTAATTATATTATTTAACATGTTTTGTTTTTGTTGAAAACAGTCTTCAGCAACCAAGAGGACAAGCTTCCAAAGACAGTTGGTAACTGGTTGCCACTGGAAAAAAAATTGTTAGGAAATAGTGATGGAGTGGAGGAGGGCGTCCCACATGTATAGCCTACAGTGGAGGAAGGCTTACTAGTAAGCTTCACTCTCTTGCTCTTTCCTCTGTAAAATATTCTCTTCCATCTTAAAAATCTTTATTATTTTCCCTTCTTCTTCTAATTGTTTAGGCTTCCTGAATATCTTAGGGCCTAAGACTTAGGCCATCATAAAATATTTTTTTAAATACTACTGCTAGAGAGGCTGAAACAATAGAAATTTCCTTGTCCTCTCTCCTGAGCCGACAAGAACATCTACTACAGAGTTTCTCAGCCTTTGGCACTACTGACATTGGGTTTAGAAAATTCTTTATTGGAGAGTGGGGGATACCCTATACATTGTAGGATGTTCCTATTAGCAGGTAACATTCCCCACCCCAATTATGTCAACAACAAAAAATGTCTGAAGACTGCCAAGTGCCCTTTTGGGGGCAAAATTGACTGTGGTTGAAAACTACTTAATCAAAACATTAGCTTCTTCATTTTAGCCTCATTTCTAGGGATGAGAGGATCCATTTGATCTTAAGCAAAAAAGCCTAATTCTCACTCTGTTTGTGTCACTGTTGGGACCTCAGAAAAAGTATAAATGTTTACCAGTCTTTTCCTTTAAATGCCATGAAGTTCAAGCAGAGAGTTTCTGAGGCGTCAGAGGAACTGTGCTCAGAGATTGTAGACCAGCCACAAATGATGTGAACTTAAGAGCACTGACTTTGCCTTTGAATATTTTCATTTAAAAAATGAAGGGGATCTGATTAGGGTTCGTTAGGATCCCTTGAAGCACTAATAGTCCATGAAATATTCCAATTTCTATATAAAACATCAGCAACCATTAATAATAATTATACTTCTGATTCACAGTCTGAGCAATTAAGGCGGAATCTGAGAGTTGAGTCTCCGGGATGGAGGCAATAAAAGGCACAGTGGCATCTGCTTTAAGTAGCTTAGTGTGTTGGTCAGGAAGCGCTTGGGTTAGCAGATGACAAAGTTCAGGAGTTCAACGACATACGGACAAAGCAGGGAAGACTTCACAGAGGAGATGGGAATTAAGCTGAGCCTCAGAAAACTATCAGGATAAGGACAAAGAGAAAAAGAGTGCTTTGATCTGCTGGCAATGGATGTCCACCTGGCTGTATATTAGATCACTCTGGGAAATGCTTTGCTCTTCCCTCTGCCCGGGCTTCACCCTAAGTCAATTAAGACCAATCTCTAAGGATGAGTCCTGGGCACTGACATTTTCCCCCCCAAAGTTCCCAAGTTGATTCTAATCTGCCGGGGGGGGGAGGGGGGAGTGAGAATAACCGCTAAACAAGGCAGAGCAAGATGAGTAAAGCTCTAATTATTTTAATGTTATAATAACACTTACCACCTGCAAGGTCTTTTCATGCTCTTGGCATTTAAGTTGAAATGTATATTAATTACTTACCAAAAGAAAATACCAAAAGGCCTTGCCTGGGCCCCGACCTTAAGCAGGAGTATGAACACCTGGGGGCTGCATGGGCACCTCTGTTGACAAATGCTCACACCTGTGCCTCCTCACCCACCCACACAGCAGGAGGAATGAGAGCTCCTCCGAGGCACTCCTAACCCTGCACACACATCCACTGCAGGTGCTTTTCTAGAGCAAGGGTCCCTCTCCACTTTCCCCCGACAGAGAGTGAAGCAGGCACTGTGATTTACTCAAAGTTGTGTTCACAGGAGTAAGCACGGTGCCCAGTACATGTTGAGTAGCTGAAAGAATGAATGAACAAATGAAGACAATATAGTCATCCAAGGGTACCAACTCATTGTTGGATACAGGCTAAAGGATTAGATTTTTACATATAAGATTTTTCCAGCCAAGGTGATGCCAAGAGTTACAACAAAATAAACTGTCTTCATTCAGAACTTCATACTTCCTAATCCGACATAACTTTGAGGTGTCCTTTCATTTTCTTTTCCCTGAGAGAACCCTTATAGGAGCATGTAAATAAGCCAGATAAGAAGATTTCACTTTAGAAAAAGCAGAAGACCCGAGGAGGGGAAGACTGTTCACTGTTTGAAAATATTTTGTTTTAGAACCATGTGTGTATATAATCTATTCAAAATAACATAAAATAAATATAACCAGCAGAAGAGATTTATATTTGGGTTTGACAAATGTTTTTCTTATCTACACCAATTCTAGCCAGTCAGTTGTGGTGAGTAAGCATGCTGTGTTGAGGATTATGGGTCTAAAGCCTTGCTCAGGAAAAAGAAAAATAAGTGTCATAATCAGTAATGTCAATCCTTATGCTCAGAAAGAGATGGTAGCACTGTGCAGTTTCCTTCTTTGGATTAATGTCATGAACACTTTGCTAACCAATCAGATTAACATATCTCACTTGGCCAAATATACTTCCATAAATTATATTTTGTGCTATCCTCAAAAATCACAGGGGAGGAAAGCAAGCCAAGGTATTATTATTCACGTTTTATAAAGGTGAACTCTGAAGCTCAGAAATCTCCAAAGCTTGTTGAAGTGTGGCTGACTTGTTGAGCTCATCACACCTGATAAGTTAGTAAATGGCTGAAGTCACACCCGGGCACACCTTCTGGGGTCATGCATCCAAGAGTTTTCCTGATAGTCCATGTAGTATGAGAGCAACAGGTTTGCTGTCCTTTTTTGTCATTCAATTTATTGGGGTGACACTGGTTCACAAAACCATACAGGTTTCAAGTGAAGAACTCAACAAAATATCATCTGCACACTATAGCTTGCACCCATCACCCAAGCAAAGTCTCTTTCCATCATCATTTTCCCCACCTTGGTCAACTTCCACCTAGCCCCTACCCACCTTTCTCTCTGGCTATCACACTGTTGTTTATCTATGTGTTATAGGGGTGTGTGTGTGTTGCTTTTTGTGTTGTTGTTTTTTTTTTTTTAACAAAACAAAACAGGACTTTATTGTTTTCAGGTCGGGGCAGTCTGAGCAGGTCGGGGACTGAGGTGACGGCAAGGAGCGAGCCCCTACTTGCCGGCGATGAGGGTGTTCCGCAGCATCACGATGACCGAGGCGCCGCGCAGGAACATCTTGGAGATGTAGCGGTCCTTGTTGACGGGCTTGGACTTCTTCTTGCCCTTGCCGCTCTTGGGGACCTCCATCCACATCTCCTTCACATTCTCCAGCACCATGTTGCAGTGCCTGTCAAAAGCCTTCACGCGGCCCAGGAGCTTCTTGTTGTTGCGACAGTTGATGAGCACCTGCGTGTTGTTCTTGACGGACTGCGTGAGCACGGAGAGCGGGCCCGTGTTAAACTCCTCCTCCTCCCGCTTCTGCAGTTCCTCCGGGGTCATCTCACTCTTGGGCTTGTTGAGAAGGCTCATGGTGGCGGTGGTTGCGCTCTCCAAACGCTCCCCTGTGTTGGTTTTTTTTGTTGTTGTTTTTTGCTTAATCCCTTCACCTTCTTTTACACAACAACCCTCCCCTCTGACAGCTGTCAGTCTCTTCCATGTATCCATGCCTCTACTTCTATTCATTTGTCAGTTTATTTTGTTCACTAGATTCCACATATAATTGAGGTCACATGGCAATTTCTTTCTCTGACTGACTTATTTCACTTAGCATAGTAATCTCCAGGTCCATCCATGCTGTGGCAAAAGGTAAGAGTTCCTTCTTTTCTTTCAGCCACGTAATCCATTATGTAAATGTATCACCGCAATCCCACTTTTGGGAAACAATAATTTGAAAGAATATATGCATCCCTAGGTTCATTGCAGTGTTATTAACAATAGCCAAGATATGAAAACAGCCAAGTGCCTATCAATAAACGTGAATCAAAAACATACTGTGGTACAGGTTTACCTCTTATTGGGAGCAAAGGTGAGGCATGAAAGTGACTCTTTAAAGATATTACAACTAGTTCTCCATAGGCTAAAGTTAGTTAAGTAAGACTGCATTCAGCATTGAAAATGAGAAGATACTTGAGTATCACTGACCCATTCCTTAACTCTGCCCTTTACAGCCAATGCATTCTTTCAGGGAGACACACCTAACTGAAGGTTGAAAGTCTGACTTGTTGACTAAGGGCCTCAGGTAGCTGAGGAGGAGAGGGGATTAATAGAGAGAAAGAAATAGCCATGCTGACCTAATTCACAGGGATGTAATTACCTAACGAACCATTGTAAAGTACTTTGAGAACAAAGTGTGGTCTAAGTGCTAACTAATATTACTACCAAAGCTAATTTCATGTTGCTCTGCTATAGCCAGGTTCCCAGAATGCTCACCCGGCTGGCTCACCTTTCACAGCCTGCCCACTCCTGGAGGCAGCATGTTAAAAACGAACCAGTCACCACACCCATTTTCCCCCTGACCTACTCCTGAGATGCACCTTCTCATCTCCTTTCAAGGCTGTAACTTCACACCTTCCCCAATCATGAAAGAATCTCTGGCTTGTTTTTGGCATTCCACAGAATGTCATTAAAACATACCCAGAGTCTCTCTTTCTTTATGATCAGCGTTTCCTTGTGAGTGTCCCACCTGAGCACAGAAGCCATGCCATAAGCCAGTGTCTATTCAACACATGCTAATAATACCCTAGCACCTCATAATTGTCCAGCCCTTTTATTTCTGCAAAGCACTCTCCAAGCACTTCTCCCATAAAATCTGTCTGAGAAAGACAGGGCGGGGCTGATCACCAACACAGTAAGAGTTTCAGTGACTCAAGTTGCTATTAATATCAGAGTGGGATTAAAATATTCAAGTCTGCATTTACAGCATACTAGCCAGTGACTGACAGATCAGAGATCTTCAACAATATTTGCTGAATTGAGGCATGAGTGAACACAATAATGAAAAGGAAAAGGTGCCTGTTGGAACTCCCAAACCAGTGCTCTTCGCATTTTGTCACATGGATGCCATATGCTGTATCAGGACAAAGTTCTAACCCGACAGAATGCTAGGAAAAGATTTCTGCTCCCACTTCAGTAATGTTCTGAACTGGGTAAGTAGAGAGGGTGCCCACAACAAGCCCCATTTCTGTGGGATTGGTGTCCTATATCCACAATCTTTCAGGGAAGAAAAATGTGATTAAAAACTGACCATTATTATAAGAGAGCATTTATTGAGGGCCAATTGTAATAACTATTCCCATTTAAAACTGCTTTGCCATTTGAAAAGCACTTTCCCTTCCATTAGTCTATTTGATCCTTCTAATAATGCTCTGTACACTGTGTCATCATTATCCCACATCTTACAGATGAGGACAATGAGCAAGGAGAGAGGCTAGGAAACCTGGCCAGGGTTAGATAGCTCATAACAGACCTGGTCTGCAAACAAAATGTAGCGTCTTCTAAGTCAGCACTCCTTCACTGCATTGTGTTTCTTCCACACACACACAAAAAAAAATAAAAAGTGGGAGGCTCATTTCTAGGACCATTTCTAGAAAAATGCCAAATTCTCCATCACCTTCATCTCTTCTGCCTATGCCTCCTTGTGCCCACAAACTACCACCCAGGCATCCTCCACTTCCTGACCAAGGCCTCAGCTGAGTAGCAAGAGTAGGAATATGGACTTAGAGCTCATTAGTAGGACCCTTTCTCTTTAAAATGCATTTTTAGAGGACAATGTCTTCAAGTGCTACCTTCCCAAAGCCGTTGCCTGCCAAAGAAAATGACTAATGGAGGAATTTAGGGAATGTAACAGAGGAGCAGTTTAGGGGCAGGGAGGCAAGACTGAGGAATGGCAATTCTATGTTTGTGAATTACCAACACAAAGGAATGAATTTCCCGAAGAAGTTTTCAATAAGATTTGTTCATTCCTTCCTTCCTATCATTATGAGTGCTTAACTCTTTATGCAGGGACTTGCAAGATGGTGCAATATGAAAACATAAGAAGGAATGATTTTTTAAATTATTTAATGAATGTCTTCCTTCTCTCCACAGATTGACCTATTTTATGTGGCTTTACTTACCCTTCCTGCTGCAGGCCAGAGGCCCTGGCTCTGGAGTGGTTACCATGTACTATAACACGGCCTAGTTTTAAACTTTACCAGTGTCTTTCTCTGTTTGTTGGTTTGAGTTTTCTTCTGTTGTGTTGTTTTGTTTTGTTTTTTGAAGAAAAGCTTGTGTCTTTTTATTTGTAACTCAGAGAAACTCAGACAACTTCTAAAAATCAGATCGAGGATGGTAGGTCCTCCCACACCACACCCTCAGGTTTACTGTCCATTCAGTTTATAGAGAAAGTCACAGGGGAGGGAGAAGAAAGAATCTGGGCTTGAGAACCACCACCAGAAAAGAGACTGAGGATTGGCTACTAACACAGACTTAAGTTACTGGAAGTAAACAGACCAGAACTTGTCACTTTTAAGGGCCCTGTATTGTGAAAGACAAACTGTGACTCCTTTGGCATAAAATAAACTTTGAGTCCCCAAACTGGCATCAGCAGAAAATAGGCAACAAATGCTCTATAGCTCTCAAGGATGGCAAACCCCCTTCCCCCCCAACACCAATTTCAGAAAGGGTCACAGGAAAAATGTTCAAAGAGGGGCTGACCACAACCAGTGCCCCAGAGGATTACTCCCAGAGTCATAATCAAGTCTCATCCCAAGCTTCAGCCTTTCTCACCCTGGAGAGGACCCTTTATAAGGACCGCCCACCAGGATTTCACAATTGCTGGGGAACTTTGCAGATGGGAGTTTTTAATAGCTGTCATCTTGTCCCTACTTTACAATGTACATTGGGGGTGGAGGGTGGAGTGGGGGTGAGAGGGCAGAACACTTGTTCTCCGAGTTCCTAAGTCACCAGATCACAGGGAGTCAGCCTGGGACCTCATGGGCAGGGTGTGCATCACCCGGAGTTCCTGAGCAATGAGCTGGACTCTGGGTGACTCCATGGAGCTGCAACAAGTGTTCTATGGAGGAGTGGAAGGGCATGCAATGCTCAAAGGAGTGGGCCAACTGAGAGATCACTAGGTGCTCATTATAGCCCATTTCCTGTCCCCTCTGGGCACACAGTGAGATTTCATATTCCAGACACCCTTGAAATCTCATAGGGCCACACTCTAGTAGAAAACCGTGATGTGTAACCATGGCCTGGCCCATCTCCTCTCCCTTTTCCCCATCCACCAGCTAGGAGGGAATAACTCTAAAGCACAAAGAATGGCAGAACCACAGGTGAAAGGAGTCTGCAATCTGAAAGCATCACATGGAAGAGCCCAAGAGCGCTGTGGTGAGAAGACATGGACTTCCTATTGCGTTACACCATTATGATTTTAGGATGTGACTGTTTTGGAAGTTTGTGTCACCTCATAATACATACAACTATATTTTGAATCCTGGGGTAACGGTTTGAATCTTATTCATCCCTGTGTTTCCTGCAGCTCCTGAAATAGCTCCTGATGTACCTTCTACACAGAACAGGAGATAAAAAACAGTTTTCAATAAATATACAAACAACTTGATGAAGAGAGCTTCATCAGAACGGCCAGGGACAGAAGTCAGATTCTCTCTATCAAATCCAATAGAGAAGATTCCTTGGTTGTTTCATCTGCTAAAGGGGAGGTTAGTGCCTGCTTCATAGGCATGAGAGGGAAATTATATAACACATGCAAAGTACTTAGCATGAAATGAACATTTCATTATTAGCAGGATGTTTTATTATTAGCTGTGAACTCTACACAAAGTGGTTTCTTAGATAAAACAAACCATGTCTCCAAGAACAGAGTGGAACTAGTTTTCTTGAAATTAAAACCTGTGTCTGAATCATGTATATCTGAAAGGCTCAAGCAGTCTTACATACAGAGCTGGGGGTGAGGTTGAACTGTATTATGCAGAAGGGCAGGGAGAGGAAAAATTATTTGAATGGTACTAAGAAGAAACACAAAAGTGAGCATGTAGGTAGTGCTAATAAATTATTTTATGGATTGTTTATTATTTTGTAAAATTTAGTGTTTGTGTTTTGAATCTACATTGAAAAGAAGTATTTATTCTCACATTTAAATTCACATTGTATAGCTAATTGTCACAAACAGCCCAAAATTGCAAAAGGTCAAAATATTGTTCAAATGAAATCTATGTAAGGGACAGGATATAATAAAAATTCATGGAGTGACTTTTATACAAACCCCAAATTATTTGAGAATAAACCTACAGAGAAATCATTGATCGTTACCTATTGGAACATTAGGAAAATGTCTGAACACTATAAACCCATAGGAGAGTTCCTTATAGGTAGTTGGGCAGAGTTAAAAGTATATAGAAATATTTATTTCTTCTAATGTTTTCATATGATTCATATTAATAACAGAACTCAGTTATGAGAGGTAGAGAAAGAAACAAATTATACTAACAATCTGTTGAAAATTCAGTCACAACTTGAAACTAAAACTAAAGTATAATATAATGTACCAAAATGGATTTTGGCATC